TTAGTTGGCAGTGTTATCTTTTTATCTTTCATCTTGGAAATTTATATTATTTATATATTTATAATTTTAAAATGTATAATAATTTTTTTAATCTACCAAATCTGTTTCTTTTTTAATTTACAGGCTATACATGTTTTCTTGTTTTCTTTGCTGGGATGTGAATTATTGTCTTTTTCTCTACGAACACATTTCTGATTTTCAAGACAAAGTCCAGCCTCCTGTTGTTGCAACTGGACTTCAGGAAAGAAGTAATCTTTACATCTCTCCCTCCTTCTCCTTCCTCTCCTCAGTCGCTGATAAAATGAATAGCCAGCTGTTTCTCTTTCTTCTTCAACAGATCAACCTTAATAGAAACGAGCTGACAGAGGGGCTGGGAATATGAAACCAAGAACAGGAGGGAGGAAGAGAAAGTGACCCATAAACCTGAGGAGGGGGGATGGGTGAAACTGCACAGAAAGATGGGGAGATATCAGAGGACTGCAAGTTAAGCCAACCCAGGAAGGTGTTAGTGTTGGTTACCCGTCTACATTCTTTGTAGCCATTCCTCTTTCTAACTTTCTCCCTCTCCTTTCTACACAGCAGCACAGGCTGAATACACACTCAGTCCTTCACATGTAGGTTATTTGCCCGTGTTTGCTCATTTATATTTAGAGATAATGAAGAGCTGCATGAACCAAAAGCAATCAGTAGTGTAATACTGATGCATCACCAGGTTCTGTCCACCAGATGGCATCAGAGTAACAGTCCAAGCTCTGAGTCGCACTCAGACCATTTCAAGGTTACATTTCAAAGCTGAAAGGTTTTTTCCACTTTTAGTTCATTTTATATTAATTATTTTACTGATCTCAAACCAGTTGAGATGATTGTGTGTTACTGAGTTAAATTGCGCTCTCTCGTCAGTATACCTCTGCAGGTATGCCATTTGGACCAAGTGCCTTTCCACTCTCTATCCTCTTCATATCTATGTTTACTTCCTCCTTACTCCGCTGCACTTCCTGACTCAGTAACTGTGCTCCATCCATCTTCCTCTTTCAGTTCAACTACAGTTCACTATAAGCCTTTGCCGTGTCTCTCTCTCACAATACTCCTGCCTATCTCCCTGACTGTCCTGTTATTTTTCTCTAACTTCTTCCTTTGAATACTTTCCTGTACTTCCTTTCCAGTACTTCCTCATTCCACCATCGCTTCTCCAAGTCCTCTTTCCTCTGTCCAGATTATACACCAAATCTTCGTAGTTTTCCTCACAACTGTACTTTCCGAGTCCTCTGGTTACTCTTCCCTAGCACCCAGAGCCTGTCTCAGCTCCTTCCTGAACTCTGTGCAACATTCTTCAAATTCCACCATTTAACCTTGGCTCTGCATTCACTCACTTCCTCTTCCTGAATTCTGAAGTCATCCTATAGTCTGATGCTGTCTAGCTGCATTCTCCCCTATCACCACCTTAAAGGCTTCTGTGTTCTAAGTTGTAGTCCACCTGTTTGCACCTCCTTCAGTCTTATACATATGTTACATCATGTTCCTTCTTCTGAAAGTACATGTGCACCACAGCCATTCCCAAAATCTTGTGAGGTATAAAAACACACTGATAACATTCATTAGCACTCCTTTGACACCACTGGCCCCGACAGATTCAATATAGAAATCTCATTCTTTACGATATTCATGTTCGATTACTCCAACCCTTCTCATTTATTCAGGCTTGGCTTTTAAGGGACACCTCACTCTGTTCCTTAATATCAGGTACATACTAAGAGACAGTGATCTCACTTTCTGGTGCATTTATGTGCCCCACATACTGCACATGAAGCACATGTGTAGGGACACTTTTACTGAAATTTGAATAACCCTGAAGACGAACCCTGAAGTCATAGAGGTATGTTAATAGACAAGCCTTGACACTGTTCCCTACCCACAAACCACAAAACATATGCTCGTGAATTTAAATCAAAATACAACTGAAATAATGATAACAGCATGTATAAATGAAAGATTTGACAGTAGGCATTCACTGTCTTTGTGCTTGTTGTTGTAGAAGTGTTCCTGACTTGGAAAAAAATCACGTGCAAATTGCTCAGTAGAATAACTATAAAAAAACGTAGTAATATGGGCAAAAATCACAGATATCTGTATAATAAACAGTTAAACACACTCATTTAAATTAGGTAAAGACCTTGTTTATTAACAGTGCACCATTAAACCAGCAGTGTGTACTATGACAGCAAGGTAGATTGGGTGTGTGAATTAATGCTGGTAATGCAAAATCTTGAGCCTGAGGTTTGCCCAGAGGCACTACACAGTGCAAGAAATGACCAAAGTAGGCATATCCCCTCTCACTGCAGCTCTGCCTCATGGCAGCTTGCGAAATAATCACAAAAATGTAACATATTTTTGTGTTCATGGACGCAAATTGTAACATTTTTTGTGTGTATGTTAGTGAAATGTGAGGTGTCACTATGGCAACCAGGACAACACAGTCTTGAAAGATGTGACAGCTGTTACATTTTGACTTAAACCATGGTAATTTCTTAAATGCCACCCAGTAGATTAATGCCTAAACCTAACAAAACCACATACTTGTAATTAATGAGGTATTTGGAAATCATACAAATAATGTGTAAAAACATCTGAGACAGGAATGACTTAAACCTGAGTGTGGTGAAAGTCAAGATGTCTCTAAACAACCAACCTCCTTTTAGACTTTTTCTTTGCCCTTTAAACACTGGATACAGCATCAGAATCAGAAAGGGTTTTATTGCCAAATGTTGAGCGGGTTTACAACATTAGGAAATTGCTGTGGTGCTTCAGTGCAAACATACTGTTATAAATTGCGCTTAAATAAAAAGCATGAGACTGTCTTCATGAAAAGTCAAGTTCAGGAATGCAAAATAATGTTGGGAAAGCTGTGATGAGGAACACAAACGATTTGGAAATTTGCGTCCAGCAAATCTCACTGTATGATCACGTCACATTTGACCTCTGACCTCTGTCAAGTATTGCTGCCATTGTTTGAAATGACAACATATAGACATATAGGGAATTAGATATCGGGATTCTACATATCAAATTACGTTTGGTTTCCAACATCTTCCTCAAGGTCAAATAATGTCAAACTTTCAGAAAATATCTTTTACCTTTAAAACTATGCTTACAATCAATTTTACTGCTTTTGTTTGTATTGGCAACATTCAGGAACTGATACACGGGTATATTAGGATTCTAAATATCACATTGTAGTTTGCATACAATAGTTGGATCCTTATACGACCGTTGCAAGAGCTTGGTCCTCATAGCAGTGAGTGTTGGACTCCCCCCTTTGTAATCTTGGGTTCCTGCCCCAAGTGGAAGAGTTTAAGTACCTTGGGGTCTTGTTCACGTGTGAGGGAAGATCGACAGACGGATAGGTACTGCGGCTGAACTGATGTGGACGCTGTACTGGTCCGTCATGGTGAAGCGACAACGAAAACGAAGCCCTCGATTTAGTGGTTTAGAGGGAGGTCAGGGCTTCTCTAGGCTGCTGCCAATGCGACCTGGCCCAGAAAAGCCGAAGAGGACGGATGGATAGTTTGCATCCAAATATCACGTCACATTTGACCTCTGATCTCATTTTTACATTTCACTGCCTTCTCTTTAAGTTGAACCCATAAGGTTTTGTAGTATTGTCAAAAAATGAGCTGCCTAGTGGGTTAGAAATATACTGTAATATAATATTATATAAGAAGCTCAAGTTATTTGTGTCCAGTTATTTATGAATCAACACCTATTATCCATTTCCTGCTCCTACATAATGTTTGTGTAATCAGAGTAAACAC